TCTTTCTTTTTTCTAAGGTTCTAAGTACAACCATGCAGCCTCACTCTCTGGAAGGCCAAAACAAACCCTTCCTGAAGTTACCTGTTCACAAAAAGCCTGTCCTGCAGACTAACCTGCAGCCCAGCCTGCCGGACACAGTCCAGCAGCAGCGTGTCACCGATGAACATTATCGCCGAGCCGAACGCCTCCGCAACCCCGACGTCATCGCCACATGCAGTGTCGCATTCCAACACCGCGTCCCCTGTCCAGCACTCCCCGTCCGTACCGGACACCGCCAGCAGAAGCCCCAAAGCAACCAGACTCAGCAACGCCATCTGTGAAAATTTCAAAGAGACGCGTTTTTAGCAACTTCGAGATTTCGCGATTTTTTATTTTTACTCACTTTTAAAAGTTGAGGTTTTCACTTGAGATCAGTTTGAGATCACTCTGATCACTCTGCAGCAAACAGGAGACACTAAAGTAAAGACTTCGACGCAAAAACAATGACTGGCCCATCGAGCCCTCAGGAGACCCATCACTTTCGAAAAATTTGTCAGTTGAAGACGACGCCGTCGTCTCGTACAAAAATCGAAAAGTAATGACCGGAAAAATCTAAAATTAATTGGGTAACATCCTGGCAGCAATAGTAGCTTACCCTGAAAAAATCAGCTTCCTAGGATGAACTGCCGATTTCCGCATCTCAGATGTAACTGCCAAAAAGTTCGGCGCCGGCAGCCCCACATCCTGTCGAATCCCCCTTTCTGGGTTGGTAATAACCATTACCATATCCGTGACGCTATTTAGCGCCACTCAGATGAATGTGGAGAAGAAAAGACATTCTCAGTCCACTGGACTTAAAGCTTTGTGTTTGTGTTTGTCTTGTCTTGTACAAAAACCAGTGTATGATAATAAAGTCTTATTGTGAATAATCATACACTCGACTCACAATCCTTTCCAAGTTCCAAGTACTGGGAGCTAGGGGGGGGATAACACCTGCGATATGATTTGTCTTTTAGATCGTTCTTTTCAATGTCTTTCAGTCTCTGTGTCAACAAGGAAAGATGTGAAGTTTTAAAATCTAACCCTTTTTTTCTATGCCTCAATTTTTCAAATTCGATGCAAGTACCTTTTCCCCAAGCTAGAACAATGTTGAGCGAGACTGAAAAGAATTCTTGTCCTGGTAATTTCAGGGATGGGCATTTAAATTTCCAGGGATGGGCATTGATTATGCAGCCCAGGTTTTCCATCGAATTCTTCACACAAAGTTTGCATATATCCCATCAGGAATATTCTCGAAAATTATGTCCGCATTCGTAGTTTTCTTGTGCATCCCGTGAACATATGGTCATTTACAAAAAAAAAGTCTCACTCTACAGCACTGTGTGCACAGAATGTTGAATTTATGCGACATGAGTACACATATTGTGGTGCAGACAACAGATTGCCTTTAATTTTCCTGTTCATTATTTCATTATTTTAATTTGACAGCGATCTTTCCAACTCAAACCCGGTAACATTTTAATGCGGTAACATTTTTATTCACGACCTTTCTTTGATTATGATGGAATATGTTGCACATTCACAATAGAAACGACGGGTTTGAGAAAAAAATTTGGTCAAGAATTCAATGGGATAAGAATTACAGATGTTCTTTTTAAAATTGAAGAGGTTCTCGTTTTCTACACACGATTGGCGGCTTTATTCGGGACAAAATTAATATGCATTTGTCCAGCTTGAGAATATTATGTTTTAGCTTTTATTTTAATTCGTTGATGTTTTTGAACGCTGTGAACTTTTATGGTAAAGAAAGTGATTAACCGTAGTAGACACAAAAATTAAAATAAAATAAAAGAGAGATCATGTCGCGTGCGAACATCGGGCAAGCGTGCGAACGATATTTCTTTCCGCGTTATATAAAACCGATGCTTTCTTAACGAAAAAAAAATTGATGAATAAATGATGGAAGTAAAAAAAAAGAGAAGCTTGTGCAAGAGCTCGGTATTACGTAAGAACAACTTAGATTGTTGTGCAAAGATTTCAAATCTCCCCCCCCCCCCCCCCCCCCCCCCCCCCCCCCCCCCATGTTGTGCAAAGATTTCAACCCCCCCCCCCCCCCCCCAACGCTTCTATTGGCCCGTTTCAGCGACGAACTTCGCTATTGTACCCTCGTGCTTTCTTCCGGGTTTCCGTATATCAGGTATCCGGTGAATACCGAGTACAGTTATTATGCTTCCTGTCGGGAACTGCTAGACCGTATATAGTTTCCGAAAATTTATACGAATCTTTCTGCTTTCGCCGAGCGACGTTCGTCGTCGTTCATTTTTTTTCATTAATTTTTTATTTTATTTATTTTTTATCGCCGACGTCGATCGACGTCGAGCTTCCCTTCTTTTTCTCGAATACAGTACTCGTATACGTCATCTCGTCATTGTCGAGTGTCTGCTCGAGCGCGAAATGAATTCCTTTTTGGAGGCGACTTTCATTTTTCTGGAAGAAAAGTTCCCCGTCAAAAAAAAACGCCAGCAATACTCGATCGTGGGAAAGAAGCGACGTCGGGATTTCGTATCGAAAAATTTTGTTTAACGATCAAGAATTCGTACAGCAAATTTCACCTGCATTCTATGAAAGAAATGATGATCTGGAAGAATGGTTTAAATAATCACAGTACTCTGTGTCTCTCTGCATTTATTGGCTGGACCAGTGATTGCGGGGGTTTGTAACGGAGGCTTAACCAAGATGTGTAGATTTTACAGATGAGACCAGGAAGACACACACAGACAGAGTTTGAAGTAGAACGTTTCCAAATCCTTTCAAGAGTTGACGCTTTTCGTGTGATGCGGGAAAATGCTTTTTGTTGAGGTTTATATATAGGCTTGAAAATAACTGACAGCCATAAAAATTTCGGTAGAATTTATTAGAGCTCTGCTCCTTGATGCATTGCTAGTGGGACTGACTTCTTCAGAGTAAAATTTGGAAAAAGACTACTTTGCTATAACAGGAGACAGAACCAAGAAGCACACTCGGAAAATATTTCTGCGCACTTCCTCTGCACTACGGATAACAATCTTGCAGGAAAAAAATCAGAAAAAATGATGAAAAGAAAAACTGTGCATTGCCTTGCTGATTAAATCAGCATTTCTTCAGTGCTTTCTGTGCCAAATAAAATATCAAAAAACTGGCGCATGCAAGACAGAAAAGCAATGGTAGCAAATGTATCAGTAAATTTATATACATGCATCAACAGGTGTTGCTTCAAGTTGAGATACAGTATTTGAGAATAGGCCGCAGGTGTGGCCTATGTGCAGTTATGTGAATGGGAAAGGATCATTGAAGTTACAAGGAATTGAGTTGGAAATGTTCAAACTGTTAAAAAATCACCCTGGAGTCCCGCAACTTCCTGTTACAGTATTTTCAGTTTTCATCATTCTTGTAGAGTTATTCCAGTTCGTCACACATTGTGAACCAAGCTGAATATTTGTCACGTTTGTCATCATATACTGTATATAGATACCATTTAATTAACAAAGAATGTAACTGTTCAAATGTTTTAGCCGCATTTGTACTTCCAATTATATTTTTGCATTCAAAGACACTGTTACCAATCATTTAAGCAAAATTTATATAAAATACCTTACGATGAAAAGTTTTGTTCAAGTTTATTTTCAAGGATGGAGAATTTCATGGAGAAAATGGAAATATCTCATGAAATTGGTTGGTTGTGAGGACAGAATTTATCAGTAGCATTTTTCTTGGAACAAAATTTCGACTCGATTTGGCAGACTCCTGCAAAAAAAAAAAAAAACGAAGACAAAATAATTCATGATTATTACTGATTCTGGCCGATTCTCGTTAGCATCAGTGGTTTCTTGAATAAGTTCTCATTGCATCAAAAGCTCCCGTGTTCGAATTGTAAATCTACCGTTTTTTAAATAAGAAAAAATTAGATTCAAGACTGCTGTTGACCACTTTATTTTACGCTGCTGCAAGGGTGAAACTTGTTTTTGTGCTGCGCAGGACTTTTAAAAGACTTTTAAAAAGCATTGTCAAAGATTGATTTGCATCCAGCTGTCTTAATCATTCAATATGCCACGAGTACTGTAGAACTCTTGGAAAATGGAATACTTGCAGTACAGAATTTTAATTTTCTTCCTTCCCCTTCCTTCCCAATTCTGGGAATCTGCGCAGTACTGCTGCAAACTATGCGCATCTGCGACTTCCATTCATTAAATGATCATTCTCCAACCGCAACCATTAAAAATTAGCTGAGAAAAATACCGGTAGCAATCACCCTAATACGTGGAAGAATTCTTCAACATTTAGCAAAGGATTTCGCAAAATATTTTATGTAAGCTCCGTTGACGCTATGTTCAAATGTGTGCGATTTTGTGACATATTTGCTGCGAATAATTTATCTTCTTCTGACCCGGCATGGCTAGGAATAGGAACAAAAACCTGTTCGAAATCTCACCCCATGAGAGAATTGACACCGACTTGAAATTATTTTAGATTTATGCTGGTTTTGTGAGTCATCGAGAAGTATCTCAATGAACTACTACCACCACTGTGACGCATGATTATTATTATAAGGAATCCTCTAATGCTGTGTTCCCCAACCTTTTTGGACCAGCAGACCGGCGACTTTCCATGACATTTTTTGAAGTTTGAACAAATTTCTACAGACTTGAGAAAGTATTGCTTGGAAGACTTTATGGCAGGTATTTAAAATTGTATGTTTTTTTCAGAAACTTAGTTAAGCACCAATGATGCAGATATATATCGGAATGCCTCAAAAATTAGAAAAGTGGACTCTCAGAATGAAAAATTAAAATAATTTATTTCAGCAGTGAAAATTCGCCTGAATAAGTGTTGTTGGGAGAAAAGCCAATTTTTACTTTTCATCAGATCATTTCAACTGCCATTGTCCTTCCAAAATTTTAGGTAAAGAAAGCAGGCTTCATCCCTATTTTTGATAAAATTTTCGTGCTGAAAATTTCCCGCAGACCGGCGCCAGTCTGTCGACCATGTTGCAAATTTTGTCAGCCGTTCCAAAGAAAATGGCAATTTATCGAGTCAGTTTGTATCTTTTAACTTAATTTCTCAAAGATAGTGCTAGTATTCAACTTCATTTCTAAGCTTGGCAAATTTTGTGTGTTGTGAAACAAAGATGCAAAAATATATCAACATCAGAATAGGGTGTTTAAGCACCCCGGTTGTAGCCCAACCAAATTCTTGTGTTTCATTTTTACAAATCAGAACTTAACATTAATCTTTCCAACAGACCACCCCCTGTTGGGGAACACTGGTCTTTTGGATGATTCCCAGCCAATTTCTGGACCTGTTAAATTTGTTACTCCAGCTGAAATACTCTCCCAGAATCCAAAACCATCTCATTGACAAGAAGCCATTTTCTTTTGACAAAAAGAGTTGTCTTCTTTGGAATATATGTGTAGTCAAATTTGCTGTTCTGGGGTTGGGGATGCTAGAGGTGCTGTTAGATGGTGAATTGACAAAGGGTATGTAAAATTTCAAAAATAAGTGGAGCACTTCAATCAGCTGTTATGTGGCTGGGTACCTCTTAGAAAGGGCATTTTAAAAGATCTTTTTACTTTCTCAATAATTGAAAAACACAAGACAAGCAGAACAAACGACGTGCAGTGGGGTTTGGTGGCAAAATAATTCAGACAGCAAAAGCACACACAAACTCTTCAACCAAATCGACAGAATCTTATAATTCCTGAGATCTTTCTCAGATGACAGCTAGCTTCAGAATGTACAAAAAAATCCTCTTCCTCAGCCAGAGTTTGACCTATGGTTTCCTGCCTTCCTCCTCACCAGTGGGTTTTTTCTCAGACCAAGGCAAACCAAATTTGGCAGCAGGGGTTTCCTGCTACATCACACACTGTTTGAGTCGGGCGCCGGGTGATCGTTTCTTTGGTTGCCTGGCGCCATCTATTGGCGACTCGACACGTGCTATACAGTCCTCAAAAGAAACATTTTTTTTATTATTTTGACTGAAGGAGTGATTCATGTTTGTATCGCTCTCTTGTTCATTTTACTTTACTTTTTTGTTATTTCAGGCTTTGGTGCACGTGTCGACGGCGTATTGCAACTGCGACCGCGACGAGATAGAGGAGATCGTCTACCCGCCGCCGCATGATCCCGAACAGATCGTGCACGCCATGTCCTGGATGGACGACGAGCTCATCAAAGAAATCACACCACAGTGAGTTCCTCATCCCGTGTGAACCGAAAGACTGGAAGATTTTTCCTAGTGGTACTGAGGTCGTGAAAATGTGAAGGATGGTTTCCACAGCAGCTGAAATCATTTCGTTATTGAGCAACAAACGCATCGCCAGCAAAAACAACAAATATAGGGCAATACTGCACAGCAGTCAAGCCGCGTCTGCAATATATTGAATACACTTTATGCAGGTCGCAACCGTGGGTTCAGAAAACAGTGAAGGTTTTTTTTTTCTAGAGAAATTACGCAAACATGTTATATATTTTGAGCACTTCAAAAATTGGATGTAATTTCAAAAATCACACCATAGTGAGTTCCTGTCCCCTGTGAACCGAAATACTGGAAGATTTTTCCTAGTGGTACTGAGGTCGTGAAAATGTTAAAGATGGTTTCCACAGCAGCTGAAACCATTTCGTTATTTAGCAAAAAAAGCATCGCCAGCAGGAACAACAAATATAGGGCAATACTGCACAGTCAAGCCGCGTCTGCAATTTATTGAATGCACTTTATGCAGGTCGCAACCGTGGGTTCAGGAAACAGTGAAGGTTTTTTTCTACAGAAATTACGAAAAAATGCTATATTTTTGAGCGCTTCAAACATTGGCCGCATCCTTTTTCAGTATTTGATTGCAGAGAAGAAACTTGGAGGGTCTTGACATCTCATGGACCGCACACAATGCTTTATTTAGTCAATTAAAAAAAGAGAAGTGTTGCCTACACAGTACTGTATAAGTAATATTCGAATGAATACGCTCCACTTCATTCCGAAATTTCAGACATTTTGTCCTTCATTTAAATGGGATTGCATCCTTTTACAAAACATTGTTGGGATCGTGGGATTGTTTTAGTCGTTCATATCAGCTCAATTTTGATGCGATCAAATGGTTGGAAAACAATAAAATTATCCTTTCCGCAAGGACGAGAATAGAACTGGCCATTGCCGTTTATGCTGTTCGCATCCTCTTATTATTGTGAGCGTCTTTCGGGAAAAATTAAGCGAAAAATCCTATATACGCTTTTGAAATCGTTTGAACAATTCGAAAATAAGCTGCAGCATCTTCTAACGAGACTGTCTGAAAAATTGGTTTCCTAACCGAAAATTGGGTCTCTCAAAATATAAAATACAAGATGCACGCACATTCATTAGGGCTTAGGCCATCTTCTTTGGTGCGACCTACGTACAAATAAATAAAAGGGCCGTTAAGAAAATTAGACCGATTCGCATGCTATCTTGGACGGATTTTAAATGTTTTTCAAGCTAATTTTTGGCATAAATATGTAGTCTCATTTCATAGATTTTATCATAATTTTGTTTCTTGACACCACAATGATAGGAGGAAAACAAAGGAATGCTTTCACCTAAAATTTTTCAGACTAGCGCATCGCGAAAGGGATCAGAAGTAACGAAGTGATGCAGATGAAACAGCTTGAGAATATTTTATTCCGGATGTATTTCTACGTTTCACATTGATTAAATTGAATCGAAATTACACTGACGAGGTTGGTTATGTATAGAACGAAAGACGAGTATCCACGACAGGAAGATTATTCTACAGAAAATAGATCTTCCTTTTAATAACGTTTTATAGTGGCAGTCGTTATTAATTTTGTATGCCGTTCATCAATCCGAATAAGTCGAGGGTCCAAAGTCCAATTCGAAGAAGAGAGAGAGAGAGAGAGAGAAAAGAAATTATCGACAACCGGAATCCGTTTTCTTTTGTGGAATGACGATGAGTTTTGTTGTGTTTCAACTTTTTATTTAATTTTTATTTTATATTTATTATTATTATTATTTTATTTTTTATATAGGCTGATCGGGAAACGGCCGAACACGTACACATACACAAAGGCCCTCGCGGAGACGGTGCTGGTGAAGGACGCCGCCAACTTGCCGGTGGCCATCGTGCGGCCGTCCATCGTGTCGGCGGCGTGGAAGGAGCCGATCCCTGGCTGGGTGGACAACCTCAACGGCGCCACTGGCCTGCTCGTCGGCGCCGGGAAGGGGCTCATCCGGTCCATCCTGTGCCACCGGGAGAAGCGAGCCGACTTGATCCCCGTCGACATCCCGATCAACCTCATGATCGCCGTCGCCTGGCACACGGCCGTCAAGAGGTGACGACATTTCCTCGTCATCTCGAGGAAAACTTGTTTTCTTTTATTTATTTATTTTTCATTTTCAAACGAGGTGCGGAGTTTAAAAAAAAAAAGAAGTAAAAGTGGACTCCCTGTACGACGAAATTCAAGAGGGACCAAAAAATACAAAATAAATCGTTCGCTGTAAAGTTTTCCTCCTAAAATGGATCCTTTCAAAATTTAGATGCGGCCTTTTTGAGCGAAAATGAATGGCGTAACTTTGCTTTTGCATCTTCGCAGAACCTTATAATGAGGATTAATGCAAAAGAAAAGAAAATGATAATCCATTGTGCAGGATTCAACGATTGCAACCAAAGTTCAGATTTATTTTGTAAAAATTTCCAAATTCACTTGCTGTGCTCCTAGCTCGCAGTTTTCCCTCTGAAATTTTTGCACTCATAATCTAAATGTGGCCTTCATAACCTGCGAATATATGGTGTACCTGTTATTGTTGCATTATTCCGTCAAAGCCTTATTGAGTGCTCTATTTGCGTGCAAAAAAAAAAAAGAAAAGAAATGGAGACTGCTCCCAAATATATTGTAATTCTCCTTTTCGTCGCCTATATATATGAATTCATTACTATGTTTGCAGTCCGAATCGGATGTTGGTGTACAACTGCACGTCCGGCGAGATCAATCCCATCAGGTGGGGCGACGTGGAGACGTGGGGCCACGCCGTGACGCAGCGGTACCCCTTCAACGACGTCATGTGGTACCCGAGTGGCACTTTCAAGTCCTCGCGGACCGCCCACACCGTCTCCTGCGCCATGCTCCACTTCTTGCCCGCGTACCTGATGGACCTCGCAGCCTTCGTGGCAGGCAAAAAGCCCATTATGGTCCGCATCCACTCCAAGTTCTCGCGGGCCCTACAGGCCCTAGAGTACTTCACGACCCGCGAATGGCGGTTCAAGACGGGCAACGTGCCGAGTCTCTGGCACCAGTTGGGCGACGGCGACCAACGCGTCTTCAACTTCGACCTCAAGCCCATGCACTGGGTCACGTACTTGGAGTCCTATTTCCTCGGGGCCAGGGCCTTCGTGCTCAAGGAAGACCCAGTGGACTTGCCCAAGGCGAGGCGACGGATGAAGAGGTGTGTATAACTGTATATACAGTACATTCCATTTTTAAGGTACCGTGTTTACTAGACTAACTGGAAAACATGTGAACTCTCTCTCTCTCTCTCTGAAATATCTTGTCTTTAACAAATTTCTCAATGCAGTAAAACGATTTTTCCTTCAGTCCCATTGGACAGTGTTCCTCAACCTTCTTGGGCCCGCAGACCAGCAAATTTCCATAAATTGTTTTGCAGACCAGCAAATTTACCAAACATTTTCTGCAGACTAGCAAAGTTTTATAAAATTCTTGCAGACTCAAAAAAGCTTTGCTTGAATGACTTTGTGGCAGCTGTTTAAAAAGGTTTTGCTTTTTTGCAATAATTAAATTAAGAACCAGTGAAGCAACTCTAGTGGTAGGTCTTAAAAAATTAGGAAGGTGGGCTTGAAGAAAATTTCTCAGAACAAAAACTTGAAGTAATTTATTTTAGCAGGTGAAAATTTGTCTGACGTGTTATTTGGAGAAAAGTCAACTTTTATTTTCTATCAGATACTGTGATTCCAACTGGTTAAATTCGAGTCAAAATTTTAATTTGGATAGATTTTGTTTTTAAATATTGCAATTTTGTAGTTGTTAGAACGACGTGTGCATCTTACTCATGTGTAGATTTTTATTCCAATTTTTGGCTGAAAATTGAAGGTCTGTGTCTTACTTGAGGGGGATTATTTTGCCTACAGTATCTATTTTTGGTTCAATATCATTCTGTCCTTAGCATTATTTGGTCTAACGTTGAATTTCTTCTTTCGTTATCCCGCAGAATGTATTGGCTGCACATTTTGACCCATGCCGTCATTATATTCGTGGTCCTGCGGTTGGTGTTGGGCAGGTCAGATTCCATGAAACACCTGTGGTACTACTTCCTGTCCTACGCCATGTACCTGCAGTCATTGTTGTCGAACGCTGTCACGTCGTAGGAGGGACTGTGACTCAACTGTTGTGTAACCCCTTGAATGGGGACGAGTGGAAGTACATACCACTACTTTTTTTTTGCAAGGAAATATTGGCGTGTAAAGAAGGCGAAGGTTTTTCGAAGAAAGAGAAGGTTTTTTTTTAATTTCTGCGCATGGTTGTGAATTATTGCGACCGGATGGTATGATTGACGACACGCCGAGTCTGGCGGAAGGAGAAAATAGATGATGGTCGAGGGAATTCGCTGATGGTTGTGACGCATGTTTATTGTTTCTACCGTTTTATTTTATTTTTCTTGTGCTTGAAGGGAAAGTGGTTGTTTGCTCGTTTTTTTTTTTTTTAAATCATTGTTTGATTGGCCCGACTTTGAGAATATCGTTTGCCACTTTTTGACGCGGTTTCGTATAGCTCAGTGCGCGAGGGACTCTCTTCTTTATTTTTGCGGTGCGTTCCTGAACGAACTGTTCTTTTATTTGTAATTTCGGCCGATTTCCGAGCGTACTTTTTTTTTTTGAATTCGTTGGATGTTTGCGATGGTGATGTGATCGGCCAATCTCGTATGCAAGAACTACAATTGTTGTCTGCGTTTCCTTTTTTTTTTATCGTGTCTTGTTTTTCGTTTCTATCGTGTCTATAATATTCTCCTGCTGATGGTCACTATGGACCCCGAATTTGAGTTTGATGTGTTTGTTCCCCTCATTTGAATATAATTTTTTTTTCTGTTGAACGCGCTTTGCATTAAGTTGCACATTGCCTCTTTTTTTATTAGGGACATAATAAAGTATCACGGTTTGCTCCATGTGTTTAAATATTGCTGGGCAGAACTGGTCGAGTTGAAACATTTATTCCAGATTTGCAGCCAATTGTGGTGAGGTTGTCGTTCGGTACATAGAAGCGACATCTACATGACGTTATCAAGAATGAATGCAAACCTCAGTCTAGATGTCATCGCAATTCTTGTCGAATAGCCTCATAAACTGTGCAGTATAGCTCGACGAAGTTTCCTGTAAAATTGATAAGTCAAAAAACTATCTCCTCAAGTAAAGAAACTCTAACATATACCTGCAGCTTCAGCATCCTAGGAATTGCCAGAACCAGGATGAGAGACAGATGCATCTGGCATATAATGTAGGCTAAAACAAGCTCCTTGCCACAAAAAGGAGGCTCCAAAGGTGACGAATGACCATCAGAACAGGTTGCCATCTGCTCAAGTTCAGGGGCAGGATCTGGTCCAGCCCAAAGCAATGAGGACACCACAAACTGTGCACCACTCCGCGCACTTTCATCACTGACGTCCTCTACAGAATCAGAAGAGTTGTACCCAACTGGAAGTATAGCTGTTCCCCAGCTCCCCACACAATCTCAAGAACTGGAGTGGTGGTCAGTCTTAAGGACCACACACCACCTGGAATACATTCACAAGATAATTAGAAAAAGATAGGAGGAAGGACCAGAGCAGACTCACCAGCAGTTTGTTCAAATTCAGTAACCTCAGTGGGCAGGAACCATTGACCCCCATTTGGAAAAGCATGCTGCAGGATGTCATGCATAACTTGGGTGCCCATTCAAAACTGTGCCATCAGGTGTTGGGCCATCTCCTCCTGCCTTGTTGTCAGGCCTGCATGAATGCTCTCCAATTCAGCATGTGCAACCTTGACAGCACCAAAAGACGCCGCCAAGATTCCCATCTCTGCCTCAACACATGCCAACTGAGTACAAGCTGAGGACAGGGCAGCTTTCTCTGTGGCAGCACAAGATTCCAGTTCCATTCTCTCTGTCACAATCTGCTCTGTGATTATGGCAGTCAATTCAGCAGACAAAATTGCAGCAATCAACCCCCCAAGTCTTGTCCAGCCACTGTCAGAAAGATGCGGAAATTGCACAAGGCACTCACAAGCAGATGACACTGTCAAAGAAATGGCCAAGCCTTGCTGACATGCAGACTTCTCCACAGCCGGACCAACCAATGATGGCACAGCAGCCACCAATTGGGCACCAACACCACTAGATGAACTGCTTGGTTCCTCAACAACCTTGGCCAGGGCGGGTGGCTGGTTGATTGGTATCTAGCAAATATTGAAATACAGTCAAACTCTCTGCCCTGTCCACTCTTGCTTTTCATCTCTTACCTTCCCCTTCCTCCACTGCTTGGTTGTTGGCGGACATCAACAACAATGCTGCATTCTCCTTGTTCTCCTCTGACTGCCTCTCTTCCATTGCCCTCAATGGCAACTACCCTCACAAACCAAGATTTTTTTTTGTTAAGTTGACAAAAGTTGTCTTTTTGTTGTTGATTGTTGAGAACAGTTGCACTTTTTTGTTGTTCCTTCTGAGTACGCCAATTTATTTTGTCAATACGCAAATTGCTTTGTTTTGAACTTGGTTTTTTCACAAGTAAGATTCCTGGAAAGAACAAACACAGTCAGCAACAGTGACATCAACTAGAGGCCAGGGGAACACACCGTCAATGAGAGCCAAGCAAGGCCAGGGGAACACAACAATGACAAGAGCTGAGCACTGCTGGGGGGACCCCAAGTCCAGGCAAGATCACACTTCCATGGTCAAAAATCTGCAACATAATGAAAAAAAAAAACTCTGGGCCTAAAAGCCAGAACTTGGCCAGGAATGTTGAAACATTGCACTGTGGCCTGCTGTCCTTTTTAAGCCTGTATAAGGCCTGGGTATGCTCCCCTGACAAGGGTACGCTGCCACATTGGGCAAGGCTGCCCATTGAGGGTGTCCACTGCATCCTGCAGAGTCTGTCATGTACTTAGTGCAAAGAAACATTAGGCACGGCCTAGCATGGGTGTGAAAAAGTCAGGCACCCTAACATGGGTGTGAAGCAGGGACACTCTTGAGAATGAGGCAAGGGGACACCAAATACAAAACAAGACCAATTGCGACAAAAACAAACTTGTATTCCAACACTTGAACATTTGACATTTTTCTCTTCCACTGACACTCTGTCTTCCGGTACTCAGATTTGATCCTGGGGACAATGGCCTGGTGGCAGCCATCATGCACACGCACACCAATCAAACTTGCTAGCTGCTGCAACTTGTTTGTCCAGCTGACCTTTTTGGACCCCTCTTGCAGCCACATCTGCATATCCCTTTTGGGGCTCCTTCAGCTGTACCTCCACTCTTTGGCAGAGGTCAGCCAAAGGAGGGATTTTGTCAGGCTCTGGATGCTGCTGCTTGACCAAAGGTAGTGGCATCAAGCCCTGCCCCAAACGCATGGCAAGAAAGGTGTGCAGTACAACATACCAGCTGCACAGCCAATTCTCAGGAGAGAGGAGGATTGGCGGCAAGAGGGAGAGAGAGACATGTTTGGAGCTTGGGCTCCAACTTGAAGATCATCCATCTCAGATTCATTATCCCTGGTTTGCTGGTGGAGTGAAGACCTGTGTGTGACTGTAATTTGTGTGTTCAGCTAGTTTGCATCCTTGATTGACTGAATTAGGTTGTGTTAAAGTGTGCTCTTGCCCATCTTGCCTGTGCTTGTTCTGTTCCTACATCTTTCGATTGTATATTAAAATCCCACTTTTGAAGGGCCCTCATTATGAGGTACCTGGCCGCATAATGGCTGATTCCTGTGCACCTTTTCTTACTGTCTAAATTCAAATCCCAACCTTTGTTGGCCAATCCTCACCCGACACTCTCTGTCTGTGTTCCAATAGTTTTCTTGAAGTAAAATTTGTTCAGGGGCTGCAAAACCACCCTTCCACACAGGATAATTTCAAGCTCTGGAATTTAAGTCAGTCTATTAAAATCCCCCACAGCTATGGGCCCTGAATTTGAGTTTGATGTGTTTGTGCCCCTCATTTGAATATAATTTTTTTCTGTTGAACGCGCTTTGCATTAAGTTGCACATTGCCTCTTTTTTTTTATCAGGGACATAATAAAGTATCATGGTTTGCTCCATGTGTTTAAATATTGCTGGGCAGAACTGGTCGAGTTGAAAAATTTATTCCAGATCTGCAGCTAATTGTGGTGCGGTTGTCATTTGGTACATATATAGAAGCAACATGTACATGACGTTATCAAGAATGAATGCAAACCTCAGTCTAGATGTCATCGCAATTCTTGTTGAATAGCCTCATAAACTATGCAGTATAGCTCGACAAAGTTCCCTGTGAAATTTTTAAACAATGAGGTTGCTTCTGAACTGCATTGTTGCAAGTATGAAAATATTACGTCTGATCACCAAGAATACCTAAGATAATGAGCATTGTTTGAAAGAGATCTGTGGGATAATATAATTCAAATTAAATATACTGCACTGTCATGAGTCTGGCAATGAGCTATCTCATTTTCCACAGAACACGGTGTTTGATGGAGAAGGATGGTTGCTCATAGTTCAGAAGTGGGGAAATTGGTGCACACTGAGAATATGTTTGTAATTCTGTACAGTGACCCTGCTGTGCACCTGAAGTGTACCTAAGTTCTTCTGTTGCACATGCGTATCCCTGATGAGCACCAATTGTGTGTTTACACCAGGATTACTCAGGGTCACATTTGCAAGCAAATAAGTTACACCAAGGTTACAGTTGGTGCATTTGCGTGATACTCCTGTTATGTCACATTTGTGCATCAATTGTAGCCCAGGAATGGTAGCAAAATGTTGTCTACAGAGGTGCACACTTGTAACCCAAGAATATCCCATATGCACCAGTTGTGACCCTGGTGCGCACCTACTGTGGGGTCACAGCAAAAATAACTCCGCACTTGGGAAGGGATTGTATTATGGCACATAGTTTCAAAAACATTGAATGCTTTTTTGAGTTTCCCATCCTACCCAATTTGTGACAATTAAATACATCAGTGTTATAATTAATTTAGAAACTGTAGGTTAAAGATATCAATAACTTTCTTCAATACTTTTCTTGAAAGTGATGTTTTTGAAAAAAATTCGGCCATGTCTTGGTGTGACAAGAATAGAGATAAATATAAAATTGATATAATCCCTCGTGTTAATGAGATATTATTAAATTTTGACGTTCTCGTTTGTAGGAATTTGAACCACGATCTGTTTAATTGAGATTTTAAAATTTATTCTGTAATTAAAGAAAGCACTGATGCAGGTTTTACGTTCCAAGTTTTTTTTAAATTCTTGAGTGAGAAAGAAAGCCTATATAGAGGTTCGCAAATATTACAAGAGGAAGAAGAATTCGGACGTCACTACGTAATTACGTATACCCGCTATTCCTCCTAGCTCTCTCATCGACCCAAAAAACAATTAGGAACGTGTCCATAGCCCTCAAAAGAACGTGGAACGGAAATTTCGAAACACGATTCAGAGATTCATCCTCTTCTTCTTAATTACAGATGCTATCAACTATAGCTGCTAGTAGTAAACAACATCGTGCACTAGGGAGATTGTCCCCAGCATCAGCAGCATGCAGACTCCCGTCTTCCTCCTCCCCCTATTAAATCGCACATTTCTTTGAATCCACCTGTTGTTGAACTGCAACAACAAAACAGCCCTGAATCTTCTGCCCTTCTTATTTCTCTGGAAATGAAGCTGGTCTCATTGAGGGAAAACGCAGTTCCTATTCGAGTGTCCAGTGTGATGCTGAGGAGTGATGGATTATTGATGTGAGTGAAGACAAAAGTACTGTACTATACAGGGTAAAATTTCTGAATGCAAAGGAAAGCAAATTGAATGAATCAAGTTGTATTGCATGGGTACTTTGTGTAAAAGGAACGCTTGGCACAGCAGATTTCCTAAAAAAAATATATATAACTTGATGGCTCCAATTTGTGGTCTTGATTCTTGGATAATATTTTGAACAATATCACGTGCATGAAGTTATTACCCAAGAAAACCGAATTTTGCACGATTTAATGTTGCTGTCAGCATCACGTTTCTAGTGGAAAATCGAATTTTCTATCGAATTTTCGTAGTATTCCATGTGATTGTGTTGAGCATTTCTCCCTCGCGTCTGAGTGTTCTTGGTACAATTTTATGATATGTTCAGAAAAGTTGCTCTTGAAAGTCGTTCTCATGGTCATTGTAGAAAAATATAAAACTTGACTTCAAGCTTCAACACTGGAATTTTCTCTGAACATGCAATCTGAATTGAATCTTCAAAACATGAAATCTTGTTAAATTTTTCACTCTCGAATAAACTCTTGACAATGCTCTAGGTAAAACCCTTTTTATTTTGTTAGTTACAAAAAGACCACAACTAAAGGATGGGAAATACAGTATTCATGAGTAAAATTAGAAAAAAAATTTGTGTACCCCCATAAAAAAAACCTATGTATACGGCATTGAAGTAAAAATGGATCTCCCAACCAGGATTGATACCAAGAACCCTTTGTTTCGTCATATGATATAAATAAAATTTATAAAACGCCCAAGAGGACTCTCTCTAAGACAAAATGCGAGGGCCAGACAAATTCGTTGTCAGTAAGATTTGGTTGTAGACGACCCATTTGAAATGTGGAGAGAACCTCATGGGACTGAAAAACATTGTTTTACAGAGAATAACAAGATTTTTGTAGACAAGAGACTCCACCTATACAATATATATCTTTGGAAATTTGAAAATTTCTGCTTTTCCAGATATATACAAGTATACTGTTCGAACAACTGGCAACAACTCCTGACATATATATATATATATATATATATATATATATGTGTGTGTGTGTGTGTGTGTCAAGAGGAATATATATGTCTGAAAGACGACAAAGGGTGGTTTGCTGCGGGAGAATAAAAACATTTTGCAATCGGCCTTATTTAATATTTTTACAAACTTCCAGAATAGCTGCTTGATTGGTTTTCACGTTAATTTTTTCAAGAAGGCAGCAATTTTCTCAAATATCTGCCGTATAGTCTTTCTGCCATATTTTGAGTCTGTGACAATTTTATGAAAATCGGCGGAAAATATCTCGGAAATGTGCTGGTCCACGGACCCATCAAAAAGGTTGGGGAACACTGATTCACTGGAATAACGATTTTTGAACTTCACGTTCCTCATTGCGCCAGAAAATATAAAAGAAAGTTTCATATAGTGCTTCCAATTAATACAGTGTTGTGCGAAATGAAATTACCCGCAAATGGAATCGGTGTTGATGATGAAGCGGGAATCGCCGAGTTCTTTGAAAACCGCTCGGTTTTCGTCACCGGAGCCACGGGTTTCATCGGGAAGATTTTGCTGGAAAAGTTACTGCGAAGTTGTCCGGGCATCAAGTCGGTCTTCGTTTTGGCACGCACAAAACGTCTGGCAAATCCCGAGCATCGCGTCGCCGAACTGCTGAAATGCAAGGTACAGTATTCTGTCTGATGACCTCTGTCTGAATTCTGGATTGATTAATTCGATTTGTCAGAAACTTGGTTCATCGAGATGCTTCATATGCTCAGAATTTAATTTTAAACACGGAGAAAGAGAGAGAGAGAGAGAGAGAGATAGAGAGAGAGAGAGAGAGAGAGAGAGAGAGAGAGAGAGGCCATGAAGACAATCGGCAAAGCTTTCCTTATTTCCAGCTTTCATGGAAATTTAACTAGCAATTCAAGATATACTCATACACATACAGGTTTACTCCCTCTTGTCTACCAGGATTTCCTCTTCAAAACGAATTTTTATTTCGTCTCATCGGATTCTCTCCCCGTGTTGGAAAGGGGTTCTCTACAACAAAATTCAAGGGACCTGAAAGAAATCCGTTATAGACAGAATTAATATTTTAGAGAGAATAATATTTCATTTTGTATGCATTATTACAAATTATAGGTGCACTCTCAATGCATACAACGAATTTTTTCTAGAAATATAAATATTCTACAGTGCCGCTCTGGGCCTTTATTTTGAGGCTCATGCTGTTTTAAAAAGCCAATTGTTACCAATACGAAGCGCCTGCAAAAAATAAAATAAAATCTTATGAAATAATTTTGATCGAAGCCTCCAAAATGAGCAGGGAATTCATATTTTTGTTTTTTTTTATCGGAAAATGAGAGAAACTTTAATTAATCATACTTTTCGTGTTCTGATGATTCTCCGGCTGCCAAGAAGCTAATCCAAGGATTATTCTGAATGTAAAGAGTAAAATACAGCCGTTGCTGACGTAACAATAACCAATTAAAAACATAAACATGAAAGCATGGACATGAATAAGAAGCATAAGGAAATACAGTTTATGATGGATCTGGGCTTGGAAAACAATATTTATGCTGTGCATCGAATCATTTCGAAAGCCTTCACAAATTTGGCGGATAATTTGAAATATCGTGAACAGGTGTTCGATCGAGTGCGGAAAATGGATCCAACGGCTTTAACCAAAGTCCGAGCTGTCAAGGGGGACCTGGTGGAGCCAAACCTCGGAATGTCTGAGGATGACGAGAAATGCGTCATCAATGAAGTGTCGGTGGTGTTCCATGCTGCTGCGACAGTGAGTTTCGACGAGCCCCTCAAGGAAGCCGTGGCCATGAACCTGCACGGGACCAAGTGCATCATTGACCTATGCGCCAAAATCCCGCAAATGGCTGTGAGCAAGAAAAAAGACCAATTACTTCAATAAGTTTTTAATTTGTTTTCACTTTTGTGACTTCTAATTTTTTTGCTGTTTGGGTATAGTGAAAGGTTGGGGATGATGAGGTTGGACGCCGTCAAGTTGAATTTTTTTTCTTCAATGAAATCAATTGGTTTTATTTTTGTAAATAAAGAAAACTTCATTGCCAGAGAGGTTTCTGGTAGAAATACAGGTGGTACCTCGCAATTAGACCCTAATACATTGCTGGACTAGGGTCAAATACTCAAATTGCAAAGCAGCTGAATTGTGAGACAATGTCAAATGGCATGTTTTCTACATGGCATTTGACATTCCATGTCTCTCCAGAGGTCAGATTGTGCAGGAGAGGTTGCAATGAGAGTCAACCTCCCAGAAAATTCTACCATCAAACTATGGGATGGTCAAATTGCAAGAGGTTGAATTTCAAAGTACCACCTGTATACACCATGAAACTGATGATGTCCCTTTTTTATTTAAAACACAGCACAGATGCAAAATAAAAGGAAAAATCTCTACACTTCTCAGTAAAGAAAATACTGCGCAATATATAAGGAACATTCTTGTACTGAGTTCCGAGAACCTTGCTTCAAAGATATTTTTTTGTCTTCCACAATTACCATACAGTATTTACATTTGTTATGTTTGGGCTAAGATTTTTTTTAGTGAAATTGTAACGCAATACATTTCCAGAAAAATCGGCATGCAGAATTTTTTTAATGAGTGCGAAAAATCAGGCTGTGGCCAATAAATGAGCATAAGATCGCAAGCTTCGAGTCAAGCATTAAAATGATGCACTTTAAAAATATTTTTTCCATATCCTATAGTCATCATTTTCTACATTGCAAGTTTTTTTTCACTTGGAGCGTAGAAATTTTCTTAATCCTTAAAATTCTTCCGCAAAATTATCAGCATCTCTCTCGCGGCTTTTACGAGGCCTCCTTTCCACTCAAAATTGCTGTGCAAATTTCAGCCGCGCGTGAATATGTTTGAGACATCTTACGTTGGGCCATATAAATTCTATATGAGTAACATGTTTCATATTTCTCGCTTATTTCTTTTGCATTCGCAGGCATTCGTTCATCTGTCGACTGCATTTGTCAATTGCGAGCGAAGTGAGCTACTGGAACAAGTTTATCCTCCTCTACAAGATCCGAAAAAAGTTCTGAACGCCGCCTCGTGGCTGAGTCACGCTGTTATGGACGACATTTATGAAACGTACTGTGCAGTTGATTTCGGCACTTGCTGATCCCAATTTAGAATCAATTTGAGTGATCGCAGTTAAGCATTAAAAAATCTTACTCAGACGCCGAACATGCAGAAATGATTTGCGAAAACAACGCTTTTGTTGAAGAGGGTGAGGCAAAAATACCGGTTTGATATCCAGGATTTTAAACTAATAGTGGGGTAATTCCCGATAATTGAAGAATGAATTCGAATCGTAGTTTATCCAATCGAATTTGTCTGTAAATTGTTGCATCCGAGTGCTTTGATTGATTGATTGTTGTATAAGATTTATTCGTTGCAACATGTTATTCAGCCCGTTCCCATCTAGATGATTATCCATGGCTTAACCTGTGTACAAAGAATCTCTGAGGAGAATTAATATAAAATTAACACTTTTTTCTGGTTCTCGAAGATTTGGGGGAGTATATTTTTATTAACTTGTGAGAATCCTAAGTCTTTAACAAATTCCATACTGATATTGTGGAATGCCATACTAATACTCGTGTTTGATGGTCAATGGAGTCCCTTTCCCGTCCAAAGTAAAGCATACTGACATATTCACTTGGATGCCATAAGCTTATTTTCTCTGATTGAGTCAGAAAAATTGGTTGTGCATTTGTGCATGGCATACAGGTATGAATTTTTCGACAGCAAAAATCATTCAACCATATAGTATGTAGTGGTGTAAGTCAAAAGTTATTGGACAGAAGATTAGAAAAAATAATTGGAAGTTCTTTTAGCACCATTCCTCTTTAAAACATTGTATGCTCTTTATTTATTATTCGTTACATTTATTATTTATTATTCACGTATATAAGATTATTTCACTGCTAATTTTTATTTGGTGAAAAGATCGATCATCAGCCTACAAAAAAAATTTAGACTGCAGGGTCTATGCAGTGGGGGATTTTTTGGGCAAATTTTGTGCTAAAAAATCAAGAGCTGATGCCTCTTGAGAGTCTTAAGTAAATACGGCATCCAATATACAGATAAGACACTCTCTGCAACAAACTTCAAGGGACCAGAAAAAAATATATTTTATAGATAAAAATTTTATTACTGTATATAGAGAACCCCAATAACATGGTGAGAGAACCCAATTGGACCACACACAAAAATTTTTCATGCAGAGAAAATAATTGTGGGAACAAGAGAGATGAGTCGCGGCCTGTATATTTTATCTCATTCAGTATATATCTTCTTTTTTTCGTCCATTTCAAAATTTTGATTTTATTCATTTTTGCTCGTTTGTCTGTTTTCTTCAGGACCAGAGGAATGAAGCCCAACACGTACATATACACCAAGGCCCTGGCAGAGGCTCTGGTGCAAAGCAAGTGCCAAGGATACCCGACGGCGATCGTGCGGCCCTCGATCGTGGGTCCTGCAATGGAACAGCCGTTGCCCGGTTGGATCGACAGTCTCAATGGGCCCATCGCTTTGTTCCTGGCCTCGGGCAATGGGCTCTTGCGATCTGTGCACTGCGACAGTGACAAGCGAGCCGATTTGGTGCCTGCGGACTACTGCGTCAATCTCATGATTGCTGCTGCCTGGCAAGTCGCAGTCACGTCCAAAAAGTTTGTCTCTTTGCTTTTTTTCTCCAGAGAATAGAAAAAGGACGACATTATTCTCAACATAACCAGCAGAATTGAAAAAAAGACAACAAAAAAACAGATATCCCAGAACCTAAAAATCCGGAAAAATCTTAATCACACCTACTCTGAAAATATGCCAGGGCGCGTTGAACTGGGACAACCCTCGTATATGCCTGATGATTTCAGCTGCACCACGAAACGCTATGAAGTAACCGCTTATTTGAGTGTTCCATCAAAATATGGACTGGTCTTTTGTACGTCGTAATACCCCATTATATAGAAAAAGTCTCATATTCCAGGAAATGCTGCTGTTTTTTTCTAATTTTTATTTGCGATGCATAATTTCTTCCCCATCCCCAAAACTCGGATTCCTGGCACAGAATGATCGGGCATGTTCCTTAATTCGGGGCACTTACCCGCCTTTCGTACCTGCAATTTTGTGATGGGCTATTTGCGTCTGAATTCCCTTTTTTTTTTTCTTTCAGAGCATCACCCAGCGAGGTTCTGGTGTTCAACTTGGCCACAGGAATGGAGAACCCCATGACCTGGGGTGAAATGCTGAAGCTGGCCATGTACATTTCGCGGAAAATGTATCCCTTCGAAACGACCGTCATGTATCCCGGACTCGCCCTCACCAAGTCCGCAGTGTTCCATAAAGTCAACACGGTTGTCTTCCAGTGGCTTCCTGCCGTTCTTCTCGACCTTTTGGGTAACTTTCACATGACATTAAAATACTTGATGCAATGTGGTCAATGGACAATTTTGCTATTTATGCCTGAGCGTTGCGGTATTTACTGAAGTTGTTTGCGGGCTGATTAAGAATTAGCAACATAAATGGTGAAGATGTGGATCAAAAGAATAATTCAGAAAGTGAAACACTTAATCTGCCCAGGACAAGGGCAGGGAATCCTCAAGGAGATTCCAAAGTTAGAAGTTGAAATATATTTATAATAAATTGTCCCAAAAACGGAAGAGTTACAATAATAGCACAAAAAACATAACATGTTGAAATTCTCAACACAAAAACCTCTCAGCAAACTTCTCACGTGATTATGTATTGGGTAACAAACTTCTCAAGACTGGTTGTGATTTCTTGATGAAAAATGGTTTTTATCAATTTCTTGTCTCGCGTCCATGATCAGAATACTGGATCAAGGGTTGGACGGCGCCAAGATGTCTGATTGGCACAACCAAGTTGAGTCAAAGACGTCTTGGCACCAAATTTTTGATTTTGAGGAGGGAGAGAAAAATACTTTACCGGATCTCTTGCTGTTTTCTACTTGGGTGGTTTTTTTCTACCCAATTTATTTTATTTGGTGATCTGATTATGTGCATCGATTAATTGGGGCATGAAATGAGTCCCCAATAATAGAAGTAAAGCGCGCCCTTGAGTATTGTATATAAGACACCCCAGGAACTCATTTGGCTTAGCAAAACACGTGACCAATGAGTTTCATGCCAAAAATGCCACAGATTTCTGTTATGCACTTATGCCTATACTTGGGACTATGAAAACAGTGTAGCAAGTATGTGTTTCAAAACGCCTTCTTGTTACTTTTACAATATTTATTTAGATGTAACTTAAGCCTGAATAGGATTGATTATAATTCTGTAACCCATGAGATACACATTTAAAAAATTTACGTCGAACAATTTTCAAGATTTGTCACCGTATTTTTTTAATTGTTGCCGTAATTTTGTTTTAGATACAGTATGCACCCCCAATTTCAGCGTCGATTTTCGGCTGATGAGGACCCATTCCATAATTTTTTCCCTGATGATGCTCAGCATTTTTTTTCATTTTCGCAGCTCAATGGACCGGACGCCCAGCAAAGCTGGTCAAGATACAAAAGAAGTTGGTAAACCTGCAAGAAATGCTGGAATTCTTTTGCATGCGAGAATGGGATTTCAAGTCCAAGAATGTTCAGGCATTGCTGAACTGCTTGAGCGACGCAGACGCATCCGAATTTTACTTTGATGTCAAGCGATTGAACTGGAGGGAGTATTTAGAAGCCGGGATCCTCGGATGCAGGACTTACTACCTTGGACAGGATCCTTCAACGATCCCCGACAGCATCGATCACTTGTCCAAGTAATATTACGCTTCTTAATTCACTGAGATCCGATCACAAAAAAATTATTTGACGTTCGAAAAACTACGTTGACAGACTGCAGAAATTCCGATAGAGCTGGTCTCTTATTCTTGTGTACCCCATTTCGTTTTGTGCTTTATTATTATTTATTTTACAAAAAAGTTACAGTGGTCCTGTTGAAGGATACCATATTTTATGCGGTGCATTTAATTTATCCTAGATCTTACCAACATTTGCTCACCTTATACAATCAAACCTCTTCAAGTCAAACTCAGGGAGACGCACAAATTGAATGAGGGAAATTAGGGAGTTTCTGAGTAGGGCAAAGCTTTTTTCTGCCAAACAAATTGAAGGATTATAATAAGGTGAAATTGTTGAAATTCAAGGCTTCAACGTGCTGAATAACCTTAATGACAGGATGCAGACTTCGAATGTAAGTAAATTCGCCCAATAATTGGTTGTCCTCTCACTTCCCTTTTGCAAAGCATCATCCACATTTTTGTTGTTTTTCTCCTTCCTGATCCCCAGAATAATAGTTCCCAGGCCTCTGAATATTTGAGTTATGGAGGATGGAGGAGGAAAATATTTCTGCTTGAGAGATCTATGTTATATTGTTCTTATAAAATTCTAACAAGGACTCAAAAAAATTTTTACATAGGGATTTTTTCGAGTTAAGAAGGTTTGACTCAGCAAGGTCCAAGTAGGGTGACCTTAAAGACGCCTCTTACTATTGGGAAACTGAGACCTTTCTACATTAATGAATCAATAAATTAGAATACTTTTTAAGAAACTGAGATAAACTATAAACTACTCTATAATCAAAAAACTTTGATTTCAGACAGTTGAGAATTTACTCTAAAATCTCTATAACTCTATAATTTGCTCTAAAATTAAATATACTCTATAATCTATAAAATTTGATTTGAGACAGTTCAGAATTTGAGAATTTCATTTGAAGTCCTGTGTTTTCTGGCTGATTGCTGATGATCCCTCCAAAAATTTCTCTATAATCGGCTCTTCTAAATTGAATCACAATACCTAATCTCCACATAACATATTTATGAGTTGTTTCCTGGACAAATGTAGCATGGCTAATTTCAATTCAATTTGATAAGGTTCTCGTTGAATTTGTTGATCTTTTGAAAAAACTATGTCGACAGACTGAAGCGATTCCAATGGCTGGCGAAATTTTCTTCCTACTTCATGCTGGTTGTGTTTGTCCTGCGGTTGCTGTTGATGCTGAGGATGAGAGGTGGAAGAAATTGAAATCGGACATTTTCCACCGCTTTTGCATATCATGAAAAATCCTTTCATCTGCGCGTAAAAACGTGCGTCAATACTTCAATTTACTACTTGTTTATATATATTTGTAATTAACGGCATGCTTTTTCAATAGGTGTGAAGGATGCGGTTTTGGACGAGCGAGGTTGCATCATTGGAAGAGGGTCTTTAAAAAAAATTGCAATCGGTATCGCCATTTTTGGGGACGGTGCGTCATCAGAGATAACTAAAATTTTCATCAATTTTCGAAAAGCCTCAAATTATTTTAATCGTTCAGGCTGTAATGGAGATGATGACTTACGATGAATATTAAATCAAGAAAATTGGACTGGTTATAGTATATATACAGCGTGAATTTATCGTCGAATAAATCGCACGAATTCAAAATCACTGAAAAGTGATGCGTAATGAAGAATTACCATTCTCAATGCTCTGTCATTCATTTGTGAATTTTCATAGAAACAGCACCCCTGTAAATATTCCTATTAGCATAAATTATAATTATACAGTACAATTTCAACGACAGTTTTGACTTTTTAAACGGAAATTCAGATTATTCAGATCCTAAGATTATGTGAAGAAAATTTCAATATTAGCTCGGGATTGCATGCAGCCATGAAAGTTTCCAAAATTTTGAAAATCCACGTGGGCACTGCATGAGAAATACAAATTTTAAACATGACCGAAGTGCCTGTCATTTTATATATTTTTCTTTAATCTCCATTGCAGCCTGAGAGATTTAGCATGAATACATTTTGCGTTGATGAAAAAATATAAGAAAGAAGTTTGGTCAACTGCTGCATCATATATAATAATTTTCAAGCGATTCTCAATTACTTTTGAAAAGACCCTCGCGTATTTTCAATTTCAGAATGCGGAAATGAACGGCAGTAAATGTATTCTTCAACAAGCCTTTTTTTTATTCATTCCCTACACTGTTCTTCGTTCATCATATGAGTCATCACGATCACTTTTCCTGTCCGCTTAGAAGCACTTGACAAAAAGCCCTCACGAGATTTTAAATACTATGTTCCGCTGCTGGATATGCCTCAATTGTGTATAGTATTTCACTGCCTCCCGAATGTTTCATTACAATTCGAAGCGTCGATCGAGCCCATTCCTAATTCGTCTTTCTTCGCTTCTCCGAGCACTTATTAAACTCTATATTTCTGAGCAGACTTTATCGCTTTTTGCTGAAGCAGTCGAAGCACATTCGGGTAACAAAAAACGCGAGGAAATCGTAAGTTAAGGCAACAATAACAGCGTGGAGCTTAATTCGTTCGTTGCTGAATCGTTGCACGGAATCACTATATGCACTTCGAGTTTTTATCCATGCAAGAAGAAAGCTACGTTTTTTTTTCACGTTGGCTTCGGTTTTCCGTCCAATGACGACGCGGATGTTAAAGACTTTTGCTGCTTTTGTCCTGCAGCGACATACGAGAACACGCAAAGCACGGAGTAACAAATCTGGTCCGCCTGAAAAGAAAGAAAGATCACTTCAATGGAGAATACACTTTTTACTCAAAATAAAAACATGCGAGAACACGGATTTTGCGCTAAATCTGATTCGAAAGTTATCATAGCACATTTTCATTTGCCAATTCATCGGAAGGAAGTGTAACGAAATTTTTCAGCTCATATAGTACTTGAAATCGGCGAGCTGACAAATATTTTCGATCTCACGAAAAAAGCCGAAAATGTTTTTCATGCTGGCGTATTTTAGTTTGTCCGAAACTCCAAGCTGAATTTAAATAGCTGAAGTAGGAACATGTACGGTATATACGAAATTGCATTTCGATTTAATAATTTGGGGACATTTTCAAGCAAGGACCTTCGAAGCAAAAAAGGGAAGAATACAAGTTTAAGGTGGCAAATATTTTATTAGGAATGAAAAATGTCATGTCAATTAAAAATTTGGGATTTTTTAAATTGTATACTTGACTCATTTATTTGAATCTTCAACTTTTCAACACTGGCAACGTACTTTTTTGCTTAACCTACAGTATTTGTGACAAATAATACAATAGATACGCTAAAGCTTCAATTCAACCAAACTTCAAATATTACTCGACATTTCAATATTACTCGAGAAGATATCTTAAAACTTTAGCAATTTCCGTGAGCATTGTATTATAATAACGGAAGAAATCCAGCAGCTACCAATTTTCAAAACACTTTTAGTAAATTTATAAGAATATACAGCATTGATTCGCTCAGAGAACAAACAATACCGTACTTTAAATCTCCTCGGGGACTAAGCTAAACATATTTTAACTCGTCTGTTGACTTTTTCGGAAGGATTATAAATATCTTGTAATTTATTTCCGCATAAAAGAAAGCCAAAATTTCGTACAGTACTGCGAAATGAAATGAAAATTCACAATTGTTTGCCCTTATTAAAGTGTTCGCAGGGGATGATAATCTCATGAATTAAAGTACTGTACTGGTATCAATTTATTGCTAGAAATCCTAAACCAAATGAAATGAATGCTAAAAGGATGGTCTTCTGAAATTTCTTCAGAAATAACAATAAAAAAATTGAGCGAATAATTTTCTTTTATTCTATTCCACCTTCATCAGTTTTTCGTTGGAGACCAACAGAAAATGATTTGCTCAGAATCAGCAGAGATACAGTATTCTGACTTCGACTTCTTGTGAAAAGAAAAGGCGTCAGTAAATTTCAGAAATTTCGAGAACTCCCCAAAATTTCAGATTGATTTGGAAAAGTCAAGACAGTTTTCTTTCTCATTTCTGAAGGAATGCAAAAATAGCAGAAAAGAGGAGATTTTGATGAAAAATCCAATGCTTACCATGGCACTCTTGTAACGTCTCTGTAAAATCTGCCTAGTTTTCGGATCTGCAATAAAAATGCCGCTGATTTCGGAATCTTCAAAGTCATTCCATTCGCTAGTATACTCACTAAACTCTTCCAGGACGAATATGTTGCCTTTCTGGGTAAAACACTTCCTTATGTGATCCAGTCGAACGAAAAACTGTTGCGGAAGCGTCACGGAAAACCCCGGAAGTGGCCCAATTGAGTCACGAGAGGGATGAGGAAAAGCAGAAAACACCAGAGACAATAAGCAAAACCCGTCATCCACCAAAAAAAAAATCCACGTTTTTCATTTCATTGTCCAGCTACTTGCATTATTTAGTCATTGCATTCTCGTGATTTGCTCGCCAAAGCTGACCTCCTAACCAAATTGTTTCAATAACTGGCGTTTGTACATGGTATTATTTATCGATTCAAGAAAGCATATTATTGGTGCATGAAACAAAGCTACTTCTTGTTGAGACTGAGTCCATTTAAAATTTTGTCTCGAAAGGTTGAGCGTTACCAAGTCTATCAAGTACCCAAAAAAACTGCACCACTTCAATGGCCATTTACCGTATGTTCTGATCAGGTGAGAGGCATGTGTATGATCGCATATCTAGGCGAAAACGGTTGGCATGCAAATTGAACAGGCGCATGCAAATTTGAGACGGTATGAGCATTTTAAATTTGAGAAAGCAGTTTTTCATCATCACAGCGAGTTCCATGTCTGGTTCGAACTTGAATCATGTTTATCGCTTGCATGACGGAATTTTTAGAATAAAATGCAATGCGTTCACATCACTACAGTACTTATTTTTCTTAGTAAAGTATATTGCAAATTCATTAATGTCATTCTCCTGTAAGTGGCAGTAAAGCATTTTCGCACACTATCAACCCGCGAAAATGCTCCATGGCAAGCCTTTGCTGGACAAGAAACAATTCAATATGCCTTCATTGTCATTTTATTATTTCTGGTAAATCAGCTGATGATTCTCAAATTTTTGTGATATTTTGACTAGGGTGAAATAGACAGTTGGTAAAAAATTAATTATGCATTACATTTCTGTTCAAGTGGGATTTTGAAGAACTTCAAATTTACTGTAGCTCTTTTGACAAATTCATGGCACTTATGTAAAAAAAATTCATCCAATTTTCAAAGGTGTCTAAATGGTGTAATTCCTGCAGCATAAATACATTGGTTGGTGCATTGCCAGAACACCTTCACTTCTTATGCCCAGCATTCCATACGGATAGAAATTATGAGCTTAATAAGGATTTAAAAGTATTGAAATTCAATGAAGAGACCCTTTCTGAAATCATAGAGCATCAAGGTAAACTGTTGGCCTTATATGATTTCTCATCACAGATTCTCTCTAAATTGTTCTTTCAACTAAACCTTATCTGGGAACAGGCTGAAGACCTTGTGCTTTAAATTGGGTTCAGTAACTGCTGCAATTGCTATAATTCTGGCTTATGCTGCAATTCTTGACACCGACATTTTGTTCTCAATGTCAGGGAAAGAAGGGGTTGTACACATACACATGAGTTGTACAATGTGGAACCTATTTTCTTTTATTTTGGTACCCATACACAGCGTTTTTCTCTGCTTCCCATTCTGAAGTGATTGAATGTGTTTGAATGGATTTGGATTGAGTGGGGAGGGGGTTTGGATGTGGGAATGTTGATTGAACCTTGTGAACGCTGAATAGCAGAAAATAAAGCTTTCTGTTCATTCATTCAAATTTACTGAAGCCAATTTTCTGGTGAAAGTTTAACGCTTTGTATGGTTCACCAGAAAATAGTTTGCAGAAATACATTAAAATTATAATCTTCACATTCAAAAAAAAATGTTCTGTGATTTGAAATTTTTTTGCAAAGACTCGGAATTGTTTTATTTTTCTCAGAAGGTGTGATACGGTACCAATATTTATTCGTTCCAAATAAGTTTCTCTCTCGTACCTACTTCATAGAATCCCAACAAAATGATTCACATGATCACTAACTCAACTTTAAAATCTGGCTCACATACGTCATGCATCCGCAAAGGAACCAATAACCAAATGAAAAATGAAAAAAAAACATGCAGCGCATGCAGTGATGAGAAAGCAAAAACAAACGTATCCTACACTCGCAGTGGTGCCTATATATATATTGTATATACATAGTTGAACCCATTCCAACAAAAAATGAATTTGTCAAGACCTAATATTCGACACGATTGCGAGCAAGTGCGTGTGAGGAACTGATCAAGCGAGCCTCTCTCACGTCGCACTCACGGTCTGGACCGACAGTAGGAGAGCTGATGATAATGCCAGGAACACGATAAGGGGAAAAACAATTATTATACTCAGTCCTACAAGTCGTCATTACTTTTTTTTTATTTTCTTTCCATCGTCAGGATCATATAGGGAGGGAAATTTAGAAAAAAATATTAATAGATGATCATTACAGTCGTTCGAAAGAAAAAAAAACGGGACAGGAGCTGGGAATTCAAAAATGCAACAACAACAAAAATGCCCTCAATCAACGATGTCGCCAGAATCTTCCTTTTTAATAATTTGTTTCTGGCTTGCTACATATGAAGCAGGAAATATCCTCCCCTCGTCGTCGTCTAGTCAAAAGTTTCGAGATGCAACTGCTGTAATTTTTTTTTTTTTTTTTTTTGACAGAGGATGCCATAAAAAAACGTGTCACTCGCGTAACGAAAATTTGCAATCCCCAACGGCTTTCCCGAACGCAGCCTTCCTCAAAAATACGCTGTTTGAAATAATCCAAATGTTCGAGAAAATGGACCAGTGCTTACAAATTTTTTTTTTAAACCGATAAACTTCCCCACGACTTATGCCTGAGTCCATCGATTTCCGATTGTCCTATAATTAATTCTAGAACTTCTTTCAACAAAGCAAAAACCGCATATACTCAAACTCTTTTAAAAGACGAAATAAGATTGCATTTTACATTATATTCAATGACTATCTTTTAATCGAAAATTTTCTAGTGAATCTTATTAAACCTTCCAACTGTAACCGAGTCTTTCGAAAATAACGACCCAAAATAAAATTACACAAATCCTCACCATCATCTTCATTTCGAAAAACTGAAATTCTGATTTTAAATTGAAGTACTCGATGAGATAGAATTTGCAACTGAAGTATGACCAGCAAAATTCCCCGACGAAGATACCAAGATTCCGAATCACTTTAAAGTAGTTTTAAAGCGCCTAAAATTGCACAAAAACTATCTTTATTAAAAATAAAAAAAATAAAATACGTTGAACCTCATAAGAAAATCTCAAATTCGAGATAGATACGGTTTTTGACTCGCTGATCATTCACCGAAGGTTTACACAAAATTTAATCCATCTTCCAAATTTTTTCTCACGAGGCAGAATAGCTCGTTTAAGCATAAGCGGAACGCAAATCTTATTCGCTTCCAAACCTAATCAGGGAATTATTTCGCAAAATTGAAACCCAAGAACCATACTTCACCCCCCGTTTGGAACCACAGAACTCATCCTGGTAACAGAAACACGATATGGGGTAACTGAATAATGAATACAGTCGAAAACAAGGCTGCTATTAAAATATAAGACGTGCCAGTTCCCTAACTCGAAACCAGCAGCGAAACACGCAACACAGAACCTGGGCCATACTCCGCTCTT